TGGCCACGGTTTTTCATGCGTGGTCTGAAGCTAGCTTTCAAAAAATAGCGATTAGGTCCACAAGCTTCATAAATTGTTCGCGAGGTGTGCTTTTTCTTCGTCTCTAAACGCTGAGTTCAACCATGGTCTTCAGGAACTCTAATTTTTCCTCTATGCAAAATCCCCAATTTCAGAAACCTGAAACCCTAGAATTCTCGCATGGCAAGTTCATGTATATGGCACAACAATGCAATTAAACCTAACAGTTAGCTCTAGAAACTCATAAGGAACATAAATCCACAAAGAAAAAGTGCAAAGAATGCTTAAAGAATGATGCACGATTTCAATAATTTTTCTGTACAGTTTGAGTATGATCCACCAATTCCTTACGCTTTTGTTGTTGTTTGTGATTAGAGTGCCTTCAGGAATGCCTAAGGATGCTAATGGAAAAAGAATTAAGGCTTCAAAGATCCTTTAAACTAGTTTTCAGTTTTGTGTTTTTTGTCCAAAATTTTCAATCTGCCAATGCTTGTTTGGGCGCAGCTTATAATGTCTTAGGCCTAGGGTTTGACTCAGTGATGATCATGGAATGGAATTGGCTTGCTAACTCACCTTAATTCATGCTTGGGAAAGAATAAGTCCTAGGGTTTTCACTCTTAACCATTTTTCCTCCTTTTTAGCCAAAACCTAGACCTAGTGTGCAAATGAACCCTAGCCTGATTTCTTGAGTTGGTTCATGATACATAGAAATTGTCCAAGTTCACATGACACTATTCCATTGGTTTTTAAATTTTATTTGAATTTTCAAAGAATTAAAATAAATTAAATCATCAAAAATTAAATAAAATAAAAAAATCAATATTTGGTCTTGAAATTAATCATGGGACACGTGTGTGGCATGACAAGGATGAACCAAGTGGAAAAAATGGGGCCCTTTTGTCAAAAATTGGATTTTCAAAGATAATTGACTTTTGCCATTTCACAAAAATTTCCCAACTTCTACAAGGCATAACTTGCTCAATTTTTAAGCTTTTCACATGTTCTTGGACATTTTGGAAAGGTCTTTGAGTCCTTTAACCAATGCCTTTGGTCCCATGTCATTTTGATTTACCAATCTCAAGTTATGGTCTTTGACTTAAAGTCCCTTTTTGTTGACTTTTGAAAATGACCTATAATGTTGAAATTGATAACTTTTTGTGAGAGCATTTCTTGGACTTGAAGTATGAAGATGAGTTGTAGGAAATGTCTTTCTCTTCAAAATGAGCTTTGGATGGAATTTTTCTGATAATCCATGTGAAAGTTATGCCCTGGTCAATTTCAGTTGACTTTTTCAGTTGTCCAAATATAGCAACTTTTGCATCTTTGATGATTTCTGAGCCAAATTTTGAGAATCATGATCAAGCATTGATCAAATGATGTTTTTGGCTTCAAAATGATATGTTGACCAAAAATTTGAACTTTTGACTGCCAAATGACCATTTTGCCCCTACAGTTGACTGTAGTGCAATTTAGGGTTTTGACTGTGCAATTTTGAGCTGAATGCCTTGAAACATGATATGAGGATGCTTGACCATGTTTGTAAGCATATGAGACTTGATTGAGCCTTTGAACACTCCATTTTCTTGATCAGACCCAAAACCCTAATTTTGACTGTTTAGGAGACTGTTGCACTGCACAACCCTTGGGGAATTTTGTAGCTTGGCTTGGCAATTTCTTGAGGAATATGGGAGGGCAAATTTTGGGGTATAACAATCTCTCTCTCTCTCTCTCTCTCTCTCTCTCTCTCTCTCTCTCTCTCTCTCTCTCTCTCTCTCTCTCTCTCTCTCTCTCTCTCTCTCTCTATCTATCTATCTATCTATCTCTAAAGTGTTATTTAACTTTCTCTCACTAAATGTTTTAGCCAAATGCCTTTGTGAAGGTTTGAAAAATTCCATCCAAATGTCGTGAGTTTCTCTTTGGACTTCAGATGAAGAACCTGAAAATTCTTTCTTAAACTAGTTTGGTTCATAGCTTCGACTGACGAAAGGTGCCATTGTCAAGACAAATGTTTTTCATTATAAAACATATCAAAGTAGGTCTCGAATACTTCCTTCGACACAAAGTTGCCATCATATGTAGTAAGCTGGGAAAGCCTTGGGTCTTCGACGCTCCTTTTTAAATTGGGTGAAACATTAGTTTCGAGGAAAGGTTCAAAGGTGAAATTAAGCCTCTACTGCAGGAGCCAGAAACAAAAAAGTTTTATTCAAAATTTTCCCGTGCCTTGAGGTTACGAGAAGAGATCCCTAAGGATTCATGCAGGCCACACAAGATGAATTTGCTCAGGAAAACATTTCTTCTATCATGGAGATGGGTATCCAAAGGAATAAATTTCTTAGCTAGAGAAAAAAATGAAGTGGGATAGGCAATAGGTAAGGAAAGCTATGTGTTCCTGGGGGCGTACGTTGTTAGTCAAATTATGATGGTCATTATACAAGTATCATTCCTAGGGTGAGAGAAGGTGAAACTAGGTTTGACTTTGGTCATCAGAGTGAGGTTGAAGATTTCCCCAATTGGTCGAAGACCAACAATTTCTGCTATGTCGAATAACGTGAGGGTAATTCTTCCACCTGGTATGTGAAATATGTTGGTAGAAGATTTCCAGAAGAAGATAGAAGCGACCAATATATGAGGTTTATACTTGGGACCAGATCTAGAAAGTTGTATCAAATTAAAGATACCTAGGTCTTTCCATACTTTTTCCTTCTTTGGTTGAACTCTATCTAGCCACTTGATGTAAGAAGGATTATTGGTCAAAGGAGATGAAAAAAACACATTGTTTCTCATGAAGCTCACGTCAAAAGGCCCATCTTTAAATACCAGGGGTTTTCCCGATGAGAAACTAGGGAAAAAGCTCTCAAAGTTCGATGGTTTCTTAGATGGTCTAGGTAAATGATCCATAAAAGATTGAACATTACCTAAAAGGGAGTAATGAATTAGCATCTAATAAAACTAGATAATAGCCTTTTCCTCTTGCATTGGAAGTTCAAGAATGTAAGTACGACCATCATTAAGAATGAGACCTTTGATTGTAGCAGCAGATGAAACGTGTTGTTGACGTTTGGCAATGAAACATGAAGGCATTGTTATGTCTTGAGATAATTTTGAGTGAGAGAGCTAGTTGAAATAGTGAAAGTTTCTAGGGCTCTAAAGAAGAAAGAGATAGCGAAAAAGAGCAAAAAATGAAGAAGAATCGCATATATAGTCCACAAAGAGAAAAAACTTTTCAGTTTCCTCTAAAGAATTTGGACAAGTGGCATCTTGAAATCGACGTATGGAATTTAATTTTTTGCGATAAATTAAACTAAATTAACCAATTTCTTTTAGTATAATTTAAGTTAGTGGCTCATGATTGTCCTAGAAAATCAGAGTGATGATGAAGTTTTGCATGCATGTTCTTGACGTAACAATTTGGTGAAAAGTGATCATGTTGACTATAATGTGTACTGGCTATCTTAAACAATATCGAGCAGTTACTAAAAACACCACCTTTCTTCTATCTTATATATGATCAAAAGTGACATTTTTGGAAGGCATCTGTTAGCCTGAAAATTCTAGTTGAAGGATTCTATAAGGAACGACAACAACCACGCTAAAAAATGACTAAGTATTAAAAGAATCAGTCTTCGACACATTAGTCACGCCGACGAAGAGAGTTTGACTAACGTGGTAAATTTGGTTTGGAAGAGTCTCAAGAAGAGGATTATGATCACTCTATTTCAAAATATGTCATAAATCTCAAACAAGTTTTCACAAAGCAAACCTTCGGCAAATGGTCGAGTTTGACACATTGATCAGATGTTGAGGACTTGACATATTTTTAATCTAATAGCCAGTCAAATCAATGATGTCTCGACAACTCTATTGAAGTAAGTTAAAAACTCTTGACAGATGTCGTTTGGAGGTTTCATAGACAGATATCATAATGATAGTTGGTTTGCATCAGTTTAAGCACTAAATATGTGAGGAGACAAATAAGAAAATTGAAGCCAACGTAAGTGAATACGTGTCAGATTCTATGGAGATAACCATTGTTGACAGTTAACATTATATTGGTATATAAGTCGATCACATTGTTATGATCAAGGGTCGCAAAATTCACCAAGTATTATCTATAGAACTAAGTATCCAAGTCACACATAGAAACAATTTGCGAGAAAATATATGAGTACGCGTCCTCTATTTTATTTGCTTTTAAGTCTTTTGTAATTGAAACATTTATTTTAATGACCTTTATCATATTTTTTGTCTATTATTTTCATCTAAAACTTATTTTCTCTCTCTCTCTCTCTTTTCAAATAGTGTCTTTTCCACCAATTAAAGTGGGAGAAATAATTCTTATATTATAACATAGATTTAAAATCCGACCCTATAAAATCGGAGGTCCTCGAGACCGATCCATTAGGATCACCGTTTTTACAACTATGCACTAAATTGATTTTAAATGATTAAGTAATTAACTTAATACATATGTCTTTTTTCTAATTTGTCGAACTCACGTGGATATGGCCGGGTACCCATTAAAGTTATTGGTTACGATACATTTTCTTAGTTGTGATTTATAGTTTTTTCCAATAAAAATATATAATTTTTTTTTATTTTTAGTCTTTAAAAAATATTTTAATATATTTATCATATTTTTATTAGAAAACAATATAAACCATATATCTGAAATTGCATATGAGTATTCTCCCTTAGGAAAAAAAAACTAGTAACAATAGGATTAATATTGAGTTATAGTCCTGATTAAATATTTTTCAGTGTGGAGATAAAGAAAAACGAGAGTTAGAAAGTGAAGTCGGCTTGAATAGCTCTGTAACTGCTGAATCCTTTGGAATAGAAGTTGCGTTTAGGGTTTTATTTTGAAGACAAGAGATCCAATTTGTTGAGATTTGGAGCAGGTAGAATATTGAATCATTTACGCGTTTTGGCCAATATTGAATGATATCTGTCCTTACAGGAAAAAGTTGAATAGAAAAATCAGAATGAAAGTAGGATCTGGCAAGGGGAGAAAAACATGTCTCACAGTGACTATAATTTTCATTGCAATTGTATTGCTAATTCTCATTCTGGCTTTCACTGTATTCAAAGCCAAGCATCCTGTTAACACCGTTGACTCAGTAAAGTTACAAAACTTCGACATCAACTTGGATATAGCAAAACTAAAGGTTGATTTGAATGTAACCCTTGATGTGAATGTATCCGTCGAGAACCCAAATAAGGTTGGTTTCGATTATTCAAACACCACTGCACACCTCAATTACAGAGGCCAGCTTATAGGCGAAGTCCCTATCATTGCCGGACACATCTCTTCCGGTGGGACAAAAGGATTCAACCTCACTCTCACCGTTATGGCCGACCGATTGTTATCCAATTCCCAGCTTTACTCTGATATCATATCTGGTACATTGCCCCTAAACACTTTTGTTACCATTAAAGGAAAAGTCACTATCTTTGGCTTTATCAAAGTCCATGTGGTTTCCTCTGCTTCCTGTGATCTTGCTGTTAATACTTCCAATAGAACTGTTGCCAACCAACTCTGCCAATACAAAACTAAACTTTGATTTATGTAATTCTCATTTCTATTCCACTATCTCTAAGCAAGCTGCTCCTGGAAATTTATTTCTTATCATCTTTCTGCTATCCATGTTTAATTGTTTATCAAATTAAGTGATTATTACTGTTATCGTTCTTTTAATTATTCATTCCTACTATCAAACATGCTTGTTTGGCTCATTCATTATGCCTGTTTCTAGAATTGAATTAAATCCATTATACATATATGTTGAGTCCTGGAAAAATGCAACAACATATTGCAGAAGAAACATCTGAATGCTTCATACATAAATCGTGCAGAAAGAAGCATCGAAACATCTGAATGCTTCATACATAAATCGTGCAGAAAGAAGCATCTCAATGCTTAGCTCTTTTATGTCTCTGAACTAGTATTTAACACCAGCAGTGGGAGATGGGCTTTGTTGAGTTCAACATTTTCTATTGATGTTGTTGGTTCAATGTGTTTGCAGTGGTTTTTACAACATAACAGTAAAACTAACATCCTAGTTTTTCCCTCAAATTAAGTGTTAAGCTTTACAACAGGACTCTGTATGTTGAATTCGGTTTCACCTATGTATTCTTCTTGTGATTTTGAGTAGTGTTCAATAAAATTTTGCCTTAAAAACTATAATGCATGATTAACACAAACTTAAGACAGATACAAGAAGACCACCTCAACACTTTTGCCAATCGAAATGAAATCTTACCTCATGATGTTTCTCAAACATTCTTCATAAACATGTGTGTAGTATCTTTTGGATGCAATTGTTGAAATTAATTTCTCAAATTGAACTGTGATGAGACAAAGAAAAAAACAGCTACTCAAGAATTTTAACATTGTTACAATCTTAGGACTGGCCACCCCCTGCACTTTCCACCTATGCATTTCCCACCTGCAGTTGCTTGTAGAGACATCAACCGATAAAAGTAGATTTTTGGTGGCATAAATCAACTGTCTTGTGTATTATTCTTTTCTTGACGCTTCGTGTATTGGGCAGTTAGTGTATTCACTTTCATTTGCCAATGAAAGTTGGCATAGTCATTATATGCGTAGTTGGCACGGTGCCTCTATGTAGCTGTCTCTGCCTGCTATCTAAATTGCAAGGTGTCTCTAATAAAAAAAAAAAAACTGTAAGGTGTCTCTACGGGCTTTGAAAATTTAAAATGGCAATTAATTGGCACGGGGCCTTTTGGAAAGGATTTTCCACCTCATTAGTTTCAATGCATGATTCGTCCTATATGTATAAAAAATTATAGAGGCTATAATTATATCCAGTCTTGTTCAAATATTGTTTGAGTCACATGACATAGTCATTATATGGGATCCTATTGTTCACTGTGTGCCAGATCGAGTTATAGTCATATGACATCTTCATGATCCTATTGTTCACATATGGTTCAATATGCAAACCTATTGTTCACTGTGCCAGATCGAGTTATAGTCATATGACATCATCATGATTTAGTTGTGTGGTTCAATATGTAATTTCATATTTCATTGAGTGTCTCAGCACTAGGGGTGGCAAATGGGCATATCTACTCCATAACAATTTCGGGAAAAAAATGGAACAAAGCAAATATAGTAGAGGACAAACATTGGCTCACCCAGCCAAAATCGGGTAGGGGCAGACTTGGCTGAGCCCTGTACCCATAAAACCTAAAAATCATGAAAAAAATCATATCCTCTCCTTTAAAGCCCAAACCCGTCAAAAAAACAAGAACAAGATGTGGATAGAATAGATGGTGCATGTGTAAAATGTGGATAGAACCTTGATTCAGTCCGGCAAGGCAAATCCATTTTGCCACCCTTACTTCTTTTACCAAAGTTGATTTTAAGACACTAGCTTGGTGTTTTGATACCAACAGGTCCAGTTGGCATTCTACAAAATAAAAAACAAAAGTGTACTCTGGTTTATCTCAATGGTACAATTATCTCTAAACACTATAAAGTGACACTTCCCAACTTAATGCAATGGGGCTCACACCTCTCTTCATTTTTTACAAGCATAAAGATGAGTTGTCCCAAGTGCACCATCTATTCTATCCACAAGTTACCAATAATCACACAAATAACATTCCTACCAAGAATGAAACAAATAACATTCCTACCAATAATCACACAAATAACTTAAATAACAGCAGTAAATCTGAGCATTGAAATCAACTGAATCTGAATGATTTATTTAGCACAAACTAAAGTAATTAGTGTAGTTTACAATATTGATGCTCATGCTGCTGCTACATCCATCTATATGAGGTTGGTCAGATGCAGTTATTTCCTCTAAAATAACAATAACTAGGTAAGATACAAATTAATCAGAGAGAATCTCAAAATCAGCAGCAGTAGATAATTAAAGTATGTTTGAGCGAGTCAGAATTGAAGCTTCTTGCATAAGTCCATTAGAATGAGCTTGGGTTGATGTTTGAGCTTGCGAGGCGCAGGAGGACAAGTATGAGGAATTCCTGTGAAACGGAGCTGGGGAGGAGGTGATTTACATTCATCATCTTGTTCTAGCTCAGACATTGGTGTTAGGACCCTCTCCTCCATTTGGTGTGAAAGAATGAATTGAAAGAGATTTTCCTGTAGTGATTCAAATATATCTTGATCTGAAGGAGAATCAGCACGGAAAGGAAGGCGGCGCACAACAGAGCTCCTGGAATCATTGAGATTCTTGCGGGTATCCGCAAATGAGTCCAAAAGAACATCCTTAGGGCCAGAATGAATGGTTGTCTCGTTAAGCTGTTTTCTGACCACCGTCAGTGTGAGTGTGAGAGGGGATTGCAATTCAAAATCAGCATTTTCTTTCACAACCTCAGGAGTTACAGGAACTTGACAATCTTTTTTCTCAGCATTCGGAGAGCTCGAATCCATATGCGGCGAGTTTGGGTCTACACAGTCACACACCATTGGTAGAGTTAGGGTTTAGTTTTCCACATATAAAAAGAAAAGAAACCCTAAATTTACCCCCAAAGCACAAATAAAAACAATATTCTGAGAATGAAAGCGGATCTGATCCAAAAGTTGAATTAGGTAGAAAAAGGTTTGGATATTGAAAATGGTGGAAGAGGAGAGTGAGTACCTGGTTGGGTTGAGTTGAGTCGAAGAATGAAGAGCAATGATGGGAGGCGGAGAAACTGAATTAACACTAACACTCGCCGCTTTCTGTCTTCCAACTACTGTCTCAGTGCCAAATTGCGCCAACTATTCATTTATCTTCCTCACATATATTTATAAACAACTTAAATTATTTTATCATTATTAAAAAATTCAATTAAATATAATTCATTTTTTAAATGAAAATGAAAATATTTAATTTATTATAGTATTATTAAGTTTTATAAAATGTTAGAAATTTAAATAGAATGGTAGATTAGGAATTGCAACATTAAATCATAATTGAATTTTATTTATAATAGTGATTAAAAATTAAAATATTTTTATTATTTATAAATGTAATCGGAGAATATATATTTTTCTTATTTCTTTATTTATTTATTTTTTCCCTTCCACTTTGCTTTCCTATTTCCACGTGTAATAATGTTATTATGTCTCTATTAAATTTCTCTTTTGAGGGAACACATTGTTTACATAATCTTATTATGTCTCTATTAAATTTCTCTTTTGAGGGAACACATGTTTTATATTTATTTCCAAACTTGTCTTCAATATGAACATGGAAACATACCTTTGCTATGTTGAGTTCAACTTCTAAATATTGTCTACATTTACTTTGGAACATAGTAATCACTACTTAGGGAAGTAACTATCGAAGTAACTATGGAACTCGATCTTGAATTTGCCACCTAGTTCACAAGAGTTAATGGATAAATATTTATTTGTACTACTTCCATTTCATTCATAATTGTCTTCTATCAAATTAATAATTTTAGTAGTACATTAAATTAATAGATTAAAGGTAATGTATCATTATTGTAAATAAATTTTATCCCATCATCTAATAAAATTATAATATTCTGTTATATTATATTAGTTGTTTTTTTAAAAATTAACAACGTGACTAAATTGAATATATATAATTAAGTTGAATATATAGTTCTGATTAGTATATATATATATATATATATATATATATATATATATATATATATATATATATATATATATATATATATATATATATATATATATATATATATATATATATATATATATATATATATATATATATATATATATATATATATATATATATATATATATATATATATATATATATATATATATATATATATATATATATATATATATATATATATATATATATATATATATATATATTTATATATATATATTTTAAATTAAAACTATTGAGGAAATTTTTTATAATTTAAACAATATACTTTTTATAGGTTAAGCAACAATAACAAAAAAACACAATTATAAAATTTTGATTTATGTTCGATTCTGTCACTATACCCGAATTAGTTATGATTATTTCAAATATAAAGTTCTAGAAAACTTTGTTTGAATTGATATATTATAACATAGGAGTGAAATGCGTTAGAATAGAGTGGAATATAATAAAATGTGATAGAGATTTTATTGTTTGTATTTTTTATAATTTGATAGTAATGAATATATCAAATTAGTTCATTTCATAATATATGCCCCAAATTATGGAAAATGGAAATTAAAAGATTAGATGAAATAGGAGGATTGAATTTCATCATGTTTTATTCCATTTCATTTATCATTTGCAAATCTAAATAATAAAATTTTAATTATATATCACTTCATTCGGTTACATTTCACCGATTCAAATATATCATAAGAGTACAAGGTCTGTGATTCTTTGTGAATTTTGATTTAATTGATAGACCTTCACCAGTCGTAGATGACTTGTGCTTCTTTCGTTCGTTCAAATCTTTAGAGTATAAGGTTGATTGAACTTCTTCAAATGTCAGCGACTCTCTTTCATACAAGAGAGTTTCTTTGAAGTGAGCATGTGTTATGTGCAAAGCACATAACAGTAACAACGCTTGATCTTCATTCTCGATTTTGACATTGATATTTTCAAGATCAACAATCAGCTTGTTGAACATATCCAACTGCTCAGACAAGACTTGACCTTCACTCATCTTGAATGAATATGAAGCTTGTTTCAGGTAGAGGCGATTGATCAACAATTTGATCATGTACAAACTTTCAAGTTTCTCTCATAGACCCGATGATGTCGTCTCCTTTGAAACCTGTTGAAGAAACTTATCACCAAGGTTCAATAAGATGGTGATGTAGGCTTTCTCTACCATAACCATTTTTTCTTTATCCTTTAACGCAACGTCCATGGTTGTGGCTCCCTTCAACATTTCTAAACAACCCTGCTGAATCAGTAGGGCATTCATCTTCAAGCATCACAGACCAAAATCATTCACTCTGGTGAACTTTTCAATCTCATACTTTGTTGACGACATCTTCTCCATGCTCACTGCACCAGTTTATTGTGAAAATAATACCAAGAACAAAGTATAACAAGTTTTTTGTTTGCAAGAAACCCACAAAGGTAAACGAAAAAACAAGAAGAACACAAGGAATTGATTATTAACTGATATTCTTTACTTTCTCTATGAAAAAAGATTACAAGTGTTACAGAATAACAAATAACCTCTCTCACCCTAATAAGAATTTGTAGTGTTGCAATGATGAGATACTAGTATTCTATTTATAAGAAAACTAACACACTAAGCTAATGAACTTTTACACATAGACACATTACAAGCTAACTTAGGGAACAAGCTAACTTAAACAATTGAGCATAACAAACAGACTCAATTTGACATGCTAACAATCCTAGCATTTCAAATATTGCATACTTGAGTGTAATACGATGGAAGAACCGACTTGGTTGTTTTGTGTTTGATCGTAATTGTTGCATATAGCAAGAGTCGCCACCGACCTTTCTTTTATCCAAAAAGGAAAGAGTGAAAAGAACAGGAAAGACCTTTGAGATATTTTCTTAAGTTCGGGGGGTAGATTATGAAAAGGGAAGGTGTTAGCACCCTTTTCATCCATAGATATCTATGGGCTCTTAGTTGCTTTTTAGATCACTTGAAAATTTATTTGTTTGAAATGTGTTTGTGGTGGGTTTTGAAAGTATTTTTGAAAAGTGCCTTCGTTTAGGAAAACTTTGTAATGATTCTCGTCTCTATAAGAATGCATGCAAAGTGTTGGACTTTTTGAAAATATTTCATATTTTTTGAAAGTGTTTGGTGTGTTTGAAAAGATGTTTGTTTTTGAAGATGGATTGTGAGCAAGCAACTAAGAACGTTCTACCTACTCAAAAGTCTTTTGTTCATTTCTCTCTTCCTTTGATATTTCTATCTCACAATTGATTGGTAAGTAGCCTTATCTTCGGATGTAAAGGGACGAGCGTGAGTCATCATATAGTCATGGATAGCAATATTGTGAGATATCTTAGCATTTTTCTTAAGGGACTAAGATCATTTGTAAGGCAACATTCGTAGCGTCATCGAGAGACTTTGATCTTGTATTTTGTTTGTTTTTACTAAGATGTCTCACATGCGTAACATGACCATTTTTAAGGAAACAAAGTGGAGTAACCCCTAGAGGTACAAAGTGTGCGAGTGTATTGTATTTCATGCTTGAGTTTATCTTGGATTAGAGTTTTCTAAGTATTGGTTTTGTCTTTCCATACAAACCCTAATTAACTAGCATTTATATGGTAAATTGCGAAAAGTAAATATCTTACGCTATTACATCACTTGGGGATGGGGTATACATATTTACAAATGGGAATTTGCAAGAAACTAAATCATAATTATCTATTACAACCATATTGAATATTTACAAGAATTAAATGTACAAGAATGAATAAATATACAAGGATATGAATGGAGAAGAAAATGAATTTTGTTTAAAAAAATGATTTTTGACCTAATTAATTTAAAAGAAGATAATTAGCTAAGAATAATAAAATTAAAATTAACTTAATAAACAAAGAAATTAATTTAATTAAAGAAAATAAGTTTTAGGGTTTTGTTTGTGAAATTTTTTAATTAAATTAAACTAGTATAAAAATTAATTAATTAAAAGAAAACTTAGGTTCTAAGTTAATTTATTTTGAGGAAAAAGAAACTAATTTGTTTTAAGAAAATATTTTTAATGTGTGAAAATAATAATCAAAATCCTAAATTCTAATTAATTTACAAATTAATTATTAAAGATAAAATAAAAGGTGATTAAAATAAATTCATTTTTATGTCAAAAATTAATTTAATTAAATAAAAACCTAAATATATTTTTCTATGATTTTTGGTATGTGAAAAAGCGTCCATGATTCATTGAATGTCATATGAAGATAAAATAAAAACCCTTACAAATGGACCATTGTGCCTCGGGTAAGACACAAGGTTTTTAAAGTGTGAATTGTTCGTGAATATTACAAGTCCAACATAAATGTAAAAGATAAATTACTGAGAGATGAAAGTTATTAGGACAAAGTCTCTGGCTTCCCAGTTGCGAAGTCCTCCGTTGACAGTAGGAAATATCCAATCTTCTAAGCTGTCATCCTCTTCATTGTCTTCTATTGTGTTGACCCCTTGATTGCTAATCTTCAAAGGTGGCCCTCCGGCACGGGCACGGCGCACAACCTTCTGAGCAGTTGAAGTAAACCCCAAGCCAAACTTGTGTGATTTATACGGAATGTCTGGAAGCTGCCCCCAGATGGTGCATCCACCCTCCTCTATTACTGCCTTTGCATCCTTTAGAGATGACATCCGAAGCGGAGGTCTTGTGATCTTGGGAATCGAGGATACTGCCTTGATTGCCGCTACTTCTTGAGAGACCTCTTCGAAATTTTAAAAAGGAGTTTCAATGAACTCGCCATCCAACTCCACATATCGGAAAGAATTCAGATGACTAATCATGTACTCCTCCTCCCCGTGGACAGTTATGATCTTTCCTTGGACCGAGTACTTCAGCATCTGGTGTAGCGTAGAGGTGACATGACCAGCATTATTGATTCAGGGCCGTCCTAACAGACAGGATTAAGAGGGGAGGATGTCCATGACATAGAAGGTTGAGTTAAAAGTCTGAGTTCCCACCTTTATCGGGATGTCCACCTCCCCATGGACCATCGTCTTCGAGCCATCAAATGCTCTCACAATTATGTTACTGGGTTTCAACGTCAGCCCTTCGCAATCCAATCTGTCAAGAGCTTTCTTCGGTAAGACGTTCAAAGATGAACTTGTGTATACCAAGACATGGGCCAGAGTTGTTCCTCTACACTCTACAGAGATATACAATGCCTCGTTGTGCTTTCTCCCTTTGGATGTCAAATCAGCATCAGAGAAACCCAGGCCGTTATCAGCTGTCAAACTGGCCACACAATCTTGGAACTGGTCAGCAGACGTCTCTTGTGGCACATGAGCTGTCTTCAGAAATTTTACCAGAGCTTTCGCATGTGCCTCAAAGCACAGCAGCAAAGCTATCATGGAGATCTTGGAGGGGGTTTTCTCCAACTGTTCAACCACATCATAGTCACTCTTCTTTATTATCCTCATGATCTCTTCCATTTCCTTCTTGGATGTTTCGGGGATAGTTAGTGATTGAGCCTTCATCTGAACAGGCTCTTCTTAAATGCTTTTTCCTCTATTCTCAGCAGTAGAAGTATTGGTAGGAACAAGGATTGTGTCGTCTTTGCCGGTAGGTACGCTTGCAGGTATAATCACTGGTACAGAGGTAATCTTCGGAACGGTCACAGGTCCAAAAACTGCCTTCGGAGGGACAATCTCTGGAGAGAAGATTCTACCACTACGGGTAATCTTGCTAGTTCTGGAAATATTGCCAATGTCGGAGTTTTATTCTTCGGAGCTCTCTTCTTCGGCAGTCAGTTCATCTTATTTGATACCATGGTAGTAGATTTCTCCACCATAATTCCATGGTACTGTTTTATCTGACTCATACGGGACCGGCTCGGGCATTGTGATCTTAAGTGGAATATTTTTTGGAGCAGGTGTAATCCTAACGGGTCTTTTAGGGGCTCTGGAAGGACTGGCGGAGATGGTTATGATTGAAATGTCTTTAACAGGAACGGGTAAAATGGGAGCATTTTCAAACAGAATTTCTTGGTTATCAATCAGGCGTTGGATACCTGTCTTCAACAGAGGGAAATCGGCGGGTGAGGATAAGCAATGATGGAAGTCTTCCTTACAACCTGGGAATACACCAACTTTCAACAAGTTCATTTTAATGATCGGGAGTGGAGTCATCAGTTCATCCACTGTGGCAACAAATAAATCTTCCTCGACAGCATTGGCATTGTGACCATGCCTAGGCATCATAGCGGAAATGACAATCGGTTTCTCAGGTGCATCAAACTCAACTTCCTTTGCATCTATAAGGTCTTGGATTTTGTTCTTCAGAGTCCAACAGTTGTTAGTGTCGTGCCCTGGACTTTCAGAATGGTATGCGCATCTGGCATTTGGGTGATAATGAGGGGACGCAGTATTGAGATTCTTTGGGGCCTCTTTTAAAGTTTCCAGATTCAATTTCAGAAGATGTGGTAGAACCTGGGATAGAGTCATATTAATCCTGGTGAATTGCCGGACTGGCCTTTCCACCTTTGACTGGTTGTTTCTTGGCTGGTCAGATGCGGGCTTTGGGATCATAACGGCCCCCACCACTGGTCGGCGTTCAGTTCTTCCTTGATTCCTTTGTGAATAAACAGCAGATACTTCCTTCTTCCCAGTGAAAAGTTTTCTCATAGCTGTAGAGGCAGACGCGTCCTTCTGAATTTTTCCGCTTTTTATACCAGCTTCTACCCTCTCCCCGGTTAAAATTAACTCAATAAACCCAGCAGACGAGCTTCCAATCAAATGGTTGAAGAAAGGGCCTGATAGAGTGCCCAAGAACATATCCACCAACTCCCTTTCAGACAGAGGGGGTTGCACTCTTCCAGTTAGATCTCTCCACTTTTACGCGTAATCTTTGAAACCCTCATTTGAAGCCATAGCCATACTCTGAAGTTGAGTACGGGTAGGCGCCAAATCTGCATTATACTGGTATTGCTTATAGAAAGTTGCGGAAAGTTCTTCCCAATTGTGGACGTCGGCCCTTTCCAATTGGTAAAACCAATCGAACTGTGTTCCGGATAATCTATCTTGGAAGAAATGAACCCACAAGTCTTTGTCGACGGAGTGCGGTTGAATCTTCCTGACATATGATCGGAGGTGCATTTTAGGACAAGACACCCCATCATATTTTGCAAATAACGGCACTTTAAACTTTGGCGTGATTACAATTCTTGACACTAACCCCAATTCTTCAAAATCTAGACCCGATACTCTCTGTATTTCCATAGCGGTTAAACGTTCTTCTAGGTGTCTGTATTTATCATCAGCCGGAAGGTACTGTTCTTCGAAACAACCAACAAGAAATCAATTTATGTAAAGTGGATTTACAAGGTGAAACGAAGGCCAAATGGTGAGATTGCAAAGTATAAAGCAAAACTGGTGGCCAAAGGTTTTTCACAAAAACCTGGTATTGACTTCGACGAAGTATATGCGCCTGTTACGAGGTTAGAAACAATCAGGATTATTGTTTCTACAACAGCATACAGAGGATGGAAAATGCATTAATTAGATGTAAAGTCAATATTTTTGAATGGTCCATTGGAAGAAGAAGTCTATGTTACTCAATCACTAGGATTCGACGTCAAAGGGCAGGAGTCGAAATTATATAGATTAAGAAAGGCTTTCTATGATTTGAAGTAAGCTCCTAGAGCTTGGAATAAGAGGATAGATAGCTTCCTGATTGACGCAGGTTTCACAAAGTGTGTCTCTGAACATGGAGTGTATGTAAATGATATCGACATTGTTAGTCGAATCATTTTATGCCTCTATATTGATGACTTACTAATTACAGGAGTAGACGAAGCTGAGATAATGAAGATAAAGTTGAAATTAATTCATGAATTCGAAATGTATAACTTAGAGAATCTCTTATTTTTCCTAGGGATGGAATTCAAAGACACTGAAGAAGGATTTTTCTTGCATCAACTGAAGTATGCTCAAGATATTTTGAAGAGGTTTAATATGAGCAATTGTAAGGCAGTTGTCACTCCGTTAGAAACTGGATCAAAGTTGAAAAAGGAAATGGATGATGAGTTTGTAAGTTCGACCCTTTACAAACAAATCATTAGATTCTTGAGATATCTTTGCAATACTAGACCAGATATCTGCCAAAGTGTAGGATTATTGAGTAGATTTATGGAGAAACCACAAGAATGTCATCTCATCACAGTAAAGAGGTTGTTGAGATACATAAAGGGAACTATTGGTCATGGTGTGTTGTTACCAAAGAAGTCGAAGAACAACACATATGTCGAAGTTCATATATACACTGATTCAGATTTTAGTGGAGATCAAGACGAAAAGAAAAGTACTGCATGCTACTTCTTCATGATGGAAGTTGCTCCAATCTCTTGGAGTTCGAAGAAGAAAAGCATTGTGGCTTTATCATCATGCGAAGCAGAATATGTGGCTGCATCATATGCTGCATGTCAAGCAGCATGGATCGAAATGCTACTTGAAGAACTCAGGATAATGGAACCTAAGAAGATGACGTTGTTTGTCGACAACAAATTAGCTATAAACCTGACGAATCACTCAATGTGTCAAGATTGAAGTAAGCACATATAAAGAAAGTATCATTTTCTGAGGTATCAAGTCAACAAAGGGAAGCTTGAGATAAAACATTGCAAGACAGAAGTCCAACTGACCGACATATTTACCAAACCTCTAAAGAAAGTCAGATTCGACGAGTTAATGAAAGGCATCAGGATGAGAAGTCTCGAGAACATGAATTAGGGGTGTATTAGATGTATAATTCTTGTTCTGTCGAAATGCTAGTATGGTGTATGCTGATTAGCTTTTGTATAGGTTGTAAGCTGTATTCGACAAAGTCGAATACATCAGATATAGCAATCTGTCGAATTCATGTATTGGACTTTAGCATTTTGTTATATTGGGTCTGGGCACTGTTTGCCTATATAAAGGGTTGTTAAATTTGTAATATTTGAACGTAGTTAACACATAAAAATACATGTTTTATGTTCTCAATAATAGACAAACATCTTTTTCTTAATTTGATCGCAACATATATTTTTTTGTCTCAAAGTAGTTATTATATAAGTTATCATAAATAATGGATCACAACATCTTTTTTTAAAGTTTATTCTTTTCTATTACTCTAACTAATTATTTTCAGTTTAAAATGGAGTTAAGGAATTTTGATTTGAGTGAAGAAATTGTTAGTGATAATGAGGAGAATATTTTTGTATGTGTGATAAGTGTATCATTGATTTTAATTTCAACAGGTCGATTTGGTGACAAATTTGTCAAATATTTTCTTCTTTTGGTTATGATATTATTTTTCTTATTAGTTGAAGTACAATTTTAAAAGAAAAATCCTTGATACGGAGACCCATAAGCATTATTGCAAGATCATGATCATGTTATTACTCATTAATTCACATAACTCTACCTTTATAGTACTTATACATGGTTAAGAATTTTGATATCTTCCAAATGCAATAAACATTATATCTTACCTTTAAAAAAAATATTGTTTCTATATATTTAAAAATATTGGTACATTATTTCAAGTCTTCGCATGTGAATGTACAATGACTAGGTTGAGGTTAGTTTAAGCTAGTGTTCAATCTTATATCTTTGAGTGAATTTTCACTTGTACTGATAAAATTTGATTTCCGTGGTAGGAATTTGCAGAAGGAAGAAGAAAAAAGGAGGAGTCCACGTATATCTTGCATGATGAAGGGTCGTGCATTTTATGCCAGGGGAAAAAACAAGACAAAGTTAAGATCACCTCAACATCTCACATCGTCACCAAATCAGGTTAAATTTGTTTACATTATCCATATATATAATTACAATTTTCTTTCATATCTTAGATTGATTTTACTCTATTAATTATTATGTTATTTAAAAAACTTTGTGTAGGGTGTGAAACGTGATGATATCAGAAAGAAAAATGTTAATGGTTAGTGTGCTTCATTTTTACATGCTTTGTATCATATCCAATTTATTCAAATTATAGATTTTCATGTGATATTATAAATCTCATAATGCATTTAATTTATTTCATTTGCATGTATCAGATCAACCATCAAAACCGCCATCAACTATTTTGCCAGAGAAACAAGTACTTGAACTTGTAGTTGACACTTTACAAAGGTGTTTATTAGCTTTAAATTTTATGTCACTGAACGAAAAACTCATATTGATATTGTCCATTTCTTGCTTCATAATTAGTTTTGAGGGATAGGAATCCAAAGACAAGTTTTATTTTCTAATAGGTGTTTCAATCTGTTGCATTGTTTGGAGGCCTTTTTAGTGTCTATTTTTTTCTTGTACTTCCTTGTAATAAAAAAATATATATATTATGTACTATGATTGATAAAATTTTAAACTCATATATACATAATGATACAGAAGAGACATCTACGAAATATTTGCTGAGCCAGTGGATCCAAATGAGGTCAGTGGTCTTAATTACTGATAGTATGTTATGGATATTTCATAAAAAAATACTTATAACTCATTTTGGTGGAAAGGTTGAGGATTACTATTCAATCATCCAAGAACCTATGGATTTTGGCACTATGAGAGCTAAACTACACGAAGGAATGTATAAGACTCTAGAACATTTTGAGGTTTACAACCTTGGTTTTGCATAAAGTTTTAATATATTACTACTTTTAGTAGGAGTCCTAACACGTGTATGTTTTAATGTTTGCCATCTAATACTTGGTATTTAAATTATTATGCAGCAAGATGTTTTTCTGATATTCAACAATGCAATGAAATTTAATTCTTCTGGTACCATATACTTTAGACAGGTATGACATAGAACTCTTGTGAACAACTTGGCTCCAACTTTCACTATCAAATATATTATTTATATATGACCATTTCAATTTGTAGGCTCGAGCTATAAGTGAATTAGCTAATAAGGTTTTTGATGTATTAAGAATCAGTCCTAGCAAGTTTCAAATAGAGTTTTCGGAAACAAAACGAATAAATGAAAGAGATGTTAGGGATTCAACACACATTAAATCCAATAAAACAACAACTAGTGTGCCATCGAATAATGTGGCATGCTCTTCCTATGGTACATCAAGCCAAAAAAGGGTCAAGATAAATTTTCATGACACCTCTAAGCATAAGCATGCTATAGGTAAGAGGAAACATATAAAGAAATTAAGACTGTTACATCCTATTATGTGTTGAAACTAGTATGAATTTTGGCATAGCTCCTAAATTATTCTTCATCTTAATTTTTCATATTTTACTTGCAAACTTTTTATACTAAGTTTGATATTATACAAGCCAATCTTGCACTTACTTTGACATTTTAAAGGTCTAAATATGAAAGAAAAAACCTCTTATGAATAGTTTTCATCCTAAGATTAGTGAAGCTCAATTGCAAAGTTTTTTATTACTAAAAATACAGTCCACATAATAATTTAGTTTTAATGAAGAAAATGTGAAATTCTCATGACTTAAACATTTTAAATTGTCTAGGTAGATGTAAATCTATTAGTTTTGATAGACGTTCTACTTATGGAAATATTTCCAATGACAAAGATGAGCTGATATTTTCAACTATATATGACGATAAAGTAAAGGCACTTGAACATGTGAGTCTTTTTTGCTCCCATTGTAGCTATTTTACAAAAAGACATAAATTTTGGTTTTGGTTGATCATATATATGGTTATATTGTGGCTTTGTATAGGTTACTCAACAAGATAATGGCTACAAAGATAGTTTGATGTTATTTACTAGAGATTTAGGACCCATTGCCCAAAAAATAGCTAAAAGGAAATTCATACTGCCTCTGCTTTGAAGACAAGTCTTGGTCAGATAGAATCCTCTAAACAATCCAAGCTCTTATAATAGGATTCTAGTTTATGAAAAGGCCATTTTTTCTCAAGTGAGTTTTGATATGTAATCATGCTACCATGTATTTGTAAACTACTTTTTGACGTCACAATCAGTATTACTGCATTCATTTTAGGAGAATTTTTTTGTTATCAATAGACTAAAAGTTGTCCTAACCATCATAACCTCTAGATACTTGTATTTATAAGAACTCTCTTCTTCTAGAGTATAAAGGAACTAAGGTAAATCTGGGGGAGTTCTACTATGCATACCTCTACATGTGTACTAAGCATTTTAAATTGGTAAAGGCAAACTTATTTAAGATTTTTAATTAAATGTGAGTTTATCTCTAATGGAGATTATACAAAAGCTTCTTTTTTTTTCTTTCTATTTTACTCAATCGTGATGGTTAGGTAAGTTTTTTAAATTTTATTTTTAAAAAAAGTCTTTTTTTTAATTAATACTAACCTATAAAGAATATAAACATGTAATTGATTTATGCAATTTAATATTTGTATTTAAGTTGATCTTATAGAATATATCCAGTTTTTATGGAAGTGTAATTGTAAAAGTAGATATAGGGAACAATGTGGATTTAATTAATTAAGGGAGAAGAAAATGATGAGGCTAATAATGGGTATGAATCCTAAACACCATCCACTTGTGTGTTAAATGTTGGTTTGGTTATTTAATTTGTTGAGAAAAAAATGAAAAGAGTTGAAATTAGTTGAATGTGAGAGAGAAAGAGACAGAGAGTTAATAATAATAATAATGGCATATAGGAGAAGGCAGGTTGTATCGAGGAGTTCGACCTTCAAAGAAGAGATTAATGTTGATGGGAATGAATTATCAGATGATGATAATAAGAATGGTGGTTCAATTAGCGCTCCTCCATTTTTGTCCTCTATTCATAATTCCTTAGCTACTCCATCATTTAATAATTCCCTTGCTGCTCAACCCATCCCATCATTTAATAATTCCCTTGCTGCTCAAGCCATCAAAGCTTCCGCTGCTCGTCGCGACCCCTCTCATTCACTCGCTCTCACCAATTCTTCTCTACCTCTTCAACATGATAATCATAATAGATCCAAGGTTCTTCTTCATTTTATTTCCTTCTTTTTCTTCTCCCACTCTCATAAATAATTTAATTATACATATGCAGAGCTTTGATTCTTACGGTGATGCTTCCAAATCTGGTTTTTGGGACGTCCTCGCACAGAAAGCTAAAGACATTTTGGACGATGATAATCCATCCACCCAAGTTCCTGATCATGAAATCCGAAAATTGAGATCACAATCTTTTAATACCAAAATCGTTCCTACTACCGGTGGAAGCCAGGTCTATTGATTAATTCATGAAATGCATTTCATACATACAAGTTATTTGTCTAAATTATTTATATTTTTGTTCAGGATATTGGAAAAATTGGTGAGAGTCACCTTAAAGGATGTGAAGACGTGAATCCATCTATTCACGAAACACAACTCAAGGCATCTCGCGACGTAAGGTGCCAACTAACTATGTCATTAAATTGTGATCACACTGATTCACATATATAATTTAATAAGATATTGAGATGACATGACAGGTGGCAATGGCGACCGCTGCAAAAGCAAAGTTACTTCTGCGAGAGCTTAAGACGGTGAAAGCAGACTTGGCTTTTGCCAAAGCACGATGTTCTCAACTAGAGGAAGAAAATAAACTACTCCGTGACAAGGAAGGTCGCGAGAAGGGACAAAATCGTGCAGATGATGATCTGGTATGTATATTGATTAATCTATACATACTAAATGAATGAATGAATGAATGTTTGTTAATGGATCTTGTATGTGTGAATAGATTCGTCTTCAATTAGAGACACTTCTTGCTGAGAAGGCTCGATTGGCTAGTGAGAATGAAGTGAACTCGCGTGAAAACCGCTTTCTACGAGAAATTGTGGAATACCATCAGTTGACTATGCAGGATGTGGTCCATTTCGACCAAGATATGGAAGATGACCCAGAGCTTTATGGACCCATAGACACCACTTACGGACCCCAGATCTTGTCTCCTCGCTCTCAATTACCAGGTCGAAGCATGCATTCACAACCACCGCCACAACAACAACAAGAAGATCAAAATACATCATCATCACAAGATGAAGAAGCTACCCTTGCTCCTTGTATTCCACCCTCTGTTTCTGAGGATCAACATGCATAATGATCCATTATTTTCATTCATATAGCTTTGCCTAATTAGACATGTTTTTGATACCATTGAAATACATATTTTCAATCCATGTATGCATGTATTGTGAAAATAGATACCAAACTAAAGGGAAAATAGGCGGAAGGGAACCACGTGGCCCGGGGATTAGTCATAAGTGTTATTTTCGCGGCCAACTATATACACTTGTTAATTAATTGGGGCTTCATTTTTTTTTTTTTACCTTTAATTCTTTCAATTGTTTGAACGCTTTCTTTATAAAAGTCCAATGATGTATGGCCAGAAATAAAATAGATTTATCATATATAAGTAAACTTACTTAAAACCTCTTGTTTAATCAACTTGTGTCTTGGAGGTGACTTAAATCAATGGATTACACATCCTAAAGAATGTGTTGGATGGACCAGCAATTAACCTTGTGGTTGCACTGGAATTTGGTTGGTGCGGTGGAGTTTCCTGTTGAAGCTGGGAGTAGGTCTATAGTTTATTCGGTATTTTGAGTGCGGTTCTGCAGTATGACCACTGTATTGGAGTTGTTGCAATGTGTGTGGTTTCTGTTTTGGGTGGCCCTGAGCTTGTAAAGACGGATAAAGTTGTGAGGTATTGGGGAAGTTGCTTCTTTCGGTGGATCTGTTCGGGTAGTATGGGAGTGGTGTCCCTATTTTTTCTTGTATAAGTTCTGTTTGTAGTAATAACAGTTTGGTCCGAGAGTATGGTGTTTGTTGTGATACTATGGTATGCAGTATCGTAACAGGAGTAGGGGTTCATTTATTTTCTAACTTTACGGCATTACTTATGCCTGATCTTAATGAATAATATTTTGGCCTTTCAAATAAAATATTGGACAATATTTTCTGCACAATATTACATACATACAATATCACACAACAAGTTGCTAAAACCAACATGAGATGTATCTATGAATATGAATCACTTCACTTGGGGCTTATTTTAAATTTTTGGTTTTGATCATTTATTTTAACAATAGAATAATAATAACTCAGGGATGAAAATGATGGAATCTTCAAATGTTAGGGGGTTATTCAAACTTTTTTTATAGGTTTTTTTTTAAAACTCGCCAAAATATTTATTAACCCTAATTATAATTTTAAAACTCATGGGTATATCATCGTCTCAATGTGTGGGCTTTGCAACTCTAACTATTAGACATCACCTCCCATCTTATTCCTCTGTTTGTTTGCCATAAACATTTGGAAGGAAGTTATCAGGAAGCTTATCATAAGTTGCATCCCCACCTAGCCTCAACATCTGATTTGTCTTAGCAAACTAAAATGGAACACTAAAATGCAGGACACCATCATATTAACCTTCGCACGCACAATTCGTAGAATCTAGTTGGATAGAAATTAAATTTGTTTCAACAGTAACAAAACCCCAGCACATGCACAATTTTTTCCTTAACCAATATCAAGTTAAAATAAGGTTTTTTGAAGTTTAATTTGAAAGCTTAAAATTCGTTAGAAAGTTTAAAATAAGGTTTTTTTTAAGCTTGATTTGAATCAAGCATATCGTTGATTCGAAACAAGCATTAGTTAGAAATTTGGATTTAATGCCCCTAAACTCGAATCGAATCAAGGATATGTGTGAATTGAATCACAACGCTCCTTGAGTCAAATCACAATGCTTTTTGACTCAAATAATGACAATAAATTATTTTTCAAAAACAATTATGATTCAAAACATTCTTTTGCTTGACTTGAATCATGAGTACAAATCATGATTGAAATTAAAATGACAATCTATTTATTTTACTACCTTGATTCAATTCATTCTTATTGTTGGTTCAAATCATAACTTTATAGTTTGACTTGAATTATGTTGTTTTTTCCTCACATTTTCGTGTCTAATCTCTAACGCTTATATAAATCATTTTTGTCAATTTCTCAATGGTGATGATCATGTTGATATCTCAAAAGAGATGATATTTTTCTAGAGAGAGATCAAGTGAGATCAAATCCATATTTTCACAAATCTTGAGAAAAATCCATGAGAATTTTTTCTTTCACAAGCTCATCATCTCCTTGTTTCAACCTCATGAAAAACTTCCTAGAATATTGATCTTGTGAGATCTAAGTTGTGTTGTGTGAGATTCTTTAGATAACCTTCATCATCTTTAACTTTGAACCAAGAAACCTTTTTTGTGGTGTTCAACTCTAAAGATTGATTTGAGAGGTATATCTAAGGTATATTAGGGAAGTTAGTGTTTTTTGTGAAAGTTGTTGTATGTATCAGAATAAAGAACGACAATACGTCTATGGTATCTGAAGATTGGCATCCAGCAATAGAAGAGTTTATGTATACTCCATTGAAGATTTTGGTAGAATTGAGTAAAGGTTATTTCATAATGAAATTGAGAGTTGCCCAATCATTCTTGGATAGAAGAAATGCTCGGGCAAGGAACCGGTTGGACTTAGTAAAGGTCACTGCATAATGAAAGCTTAAACTAGAATTTTTATGTCTAGCAAGATTTTTGGATCAAGATCAAGATATTGAAAAGTTGATTAAGCTCAAGTGATGACGAATGAGTTGAACCACTATAAATCTGTTGTGTATATTTTTCCTCTTCCCACCTCTTTTACATTTCTGTATAGTATTGTATGCCTTAATTTGTTTGTCATTTTTAGAATATCATGTGATTCATATTTACCTTATAGTGATATATTAGATAAATTTAAGTTTGTGATAGATCTAGTCCATTAGATATTATGTATTTCGATTATAATGTTAAAGAATTTTAACTTTAGATTGAACAACCAATTAATAAGATTCAATTCGAATCACGTGTGAAAACTGAATTGTATAAATTCTGATACACATTAAAATGCATCACTTTCAAAACATTTGTTATATTTTACTTCCACTTTCTATTTGCGCATGATTTAAAATCATCTTTATAGTATAATATATTATGAATATTTTATAATTTAATTTAATCGTTTCTACCTAAACAAAATTAATCCAACTTGTTCTGGGTTAAGCTGGCATTTGGCCCACCATTGAGCAGGCCCAATCCAGCGCCTCCGAGGCCTAATAACATCCAGTCCACGTTAACAACCATTGAGGATTATCCCACATGCCTCTTAGGCGAACATGGCCAATAGCTATCTGTAACCTCTACCATCCTGTCCACCAAGAATAACGAGTCCAACTTCCCTATCATCTCGGGGAAGTCGACCAGGGAGGAGGCCACATGCTGGACTCCATTACACGGGTAAACCTGGAAATCTTTGTTATTGGGCCTAATTGCTTGGTCCAATGCATGGATCTTGGCCCAATATTAGGGGCTATAAATACCCTCTCATGTGAGAGGGTCGGTTATTTACTCTTTCTACACTTTCATTACTTGCACTTATTCTGAACTTTACTTTGCCATCAGAGTATCTTGTAGGTACCCCCTTCTCATTTCACTTTAACATCATCCACTTCCAGTTTGTAGGTCATCAACGATCCCTCTAGTCAGGCACGATCAGTGGCGCCGTATGTGGGAAACTGCTTCATCATCTTTCACTAACTAAAGATCAAAGCAAACTTTTAAATTTCTGATCGTCATGGTCGCTCCAGTCAACAATGAAGATCCTAATGTTCACTTTGCTGAGTTTGGCAACAACAACAATGACGACGACCTTGTCGGCCATGCACTCGACATCAGGGATGGAAGAACCACTTCCTCCTCCATACAAACCATTTGCTCGACCAACCTCGCCGATAAAACTACGAACCTACAGCTTACGAGGAAATCCTCGTGCCTGAGAGTGTCGACCCTACGACCAAGGCACTGTTTACGGCGATCAACATGACTAATTACATGATCATCGCGCAAGGAGAATACCTTCGAATGCTGGAAACCCCCAGGTCCCCGAGAAGACACAGGAGGCCTGACTCACGCACCCCATATCCTTGATGACAGGAGCCCCGTTCACACTCTCCTCTACAGAGATACCAGCAGGGAGATTCTCGTAGTCCTTCTCCGTTTTGTACCGGGCGACGCCCCCGATTGGAGAGGACCCAAAAGGAAATCGTCAAGAAGCGCAACCACGCCCCTCTGTGCAAAAAATTACGTTACCCAACTCCTAAAAGGTACAAGGGGGAGGAAGAGAAGAAAACTCGGTTGAGGAGTCCCCCTCAACATAGAAGACGCCGCCATGACTTCTCGCCATCTCGATCCCCCGAACGAAGTAAAGAAGAAGGGGAAGATGACCCCCACGGTCCACTATCCCAAGCTATTACGTAGGCTTCTATCTCTAATGGAATGGAGAAACCTCCACCTATGAACAACTACGACGGCTCTACGAATCATGACGACCATGTAAACGCCTTCAAAGTAATGCTCCAATTCCATAACATCGAGGGCACAATCAAATACATGTTGTTCCCCACGACCTTGACGAAAACTGTTATGGACTGGTACAAGGGCCTCTCCCCCGAGTCAATCACCTCCTGGTGAAACCTGAAGAACCAGTTCGCCAACAGCTTTACAGCTTCTTGGCGATACCCCAAGATTGAAGCGTCCCTTGAGGCAATTATTTAGGGGACGGACGAACCTCTCTGAGACTATATTGACCGCTTCAACTGGGAGGCTATTCAGGTCTCCACCACTAATCGTATGAAGAGGTATCTGCTCGAGAAATGCCTTCTCTCGGGAAGCGAATTTCATAGAGCAGTTAACAAAGTAATTGATTAATTAAATTAATTATAAAAAGGTTAATGATAAAAAAAAATCTAAAACCTAATTATTAGGGTTTAAAAAAAACAATTATTTTAGGTTTGTAAAAAAAGGTTTGTGGTTTTATGGTTAGGTGAATTCGTGGTTTATGGAAAAATAGGGAAAAAGAACAAGTTAGAAGCAAAATCACACAAAATGTCAGGGGTGGATATTGAATCCACGCCCTTAGCCTTCCACACTGTATTAAGGAAACAAATAAGGAAAAAGAACAAGCTATAAGCAAAATCACACAAAATGTCAAGAGTGGATGTTCAACCCACGCCCTTAGCCTTCCACGCTTCATGGTTTACCATTGCGCCAGAGCTCACGTATTATGCATCAAACCTACTCTAATGATGTATATGAACACATGTAAATCACTACGAAAAAAACAATTTTTGGCAGCGCATCTACGAAAGCGCTTTTAAGAGAAAGCGCTTTCGTAGCCTTTAAAAAAATTCGCTTAAAAAAAGCGCTTTTATAGGGTTCCCTATGAAAGCGCTTTTCAGAAAGCGCTTTCATAGGTATTTGAAATATCTAACCTACGAAAGCGCTTTCTAAAGCGCTCTTATATGGGGGGCATACGAAAGCGCTTTTTACCTCAGAAGCGCTCTCATATGGGGGGCATACGAAAGCGCTTTTAAAAGCGCTTTCGTAGGTTGTTTTTATAATAAAATTAAAAATCCCTAAATCTGTTCTTTAGTCTTCTTCATTTCTTTCGTTCAGATCTTCTTCATTTCTTCGTTCGTCTTAAGCTTCCTCATTTCTGCCGTCGCCGCCGTTCATTCCTTCCTCTTCAGTCGTCGTCGCCGCCGTTCGTTCCTTCCTCTTCAGTCGTCGCCGCCGCCGTTCGTTCCTTCCTCTTCAGTCGTCGCCGCCGCCGGTCATTCCGTCTTCTCCACCTTGGTAAGATTCTGAATCAATATAGTGTAGGAATGGTTCAAGCTTAGCATTTTCCTTCTTCATTCCGTCACTGTTAAAATCAAAATTGACTGTAGGTGTAAAAATAGGACATGCATTCTCTTATCTATGAATGGGAATCTGTGTGGTATGTGAAATTGGTGTAGCCACAGGGGAAATAGGTTGACTCTCTTTGTGGGGGATTTGTTGATCAGGCACATAAGTTTTGCTCTTATTTCTGCTACTATTTTTGCATAAACAGAATATTTTATAAACATGCATACATGATAAGATATTAAGTATTGTTAACATAATACATTAGTTTATAACATTCTAGGAAGAAGTACCTAGATTGGCTGTTTGTTACAGTTGTTAAGTTATACGTGGACTTTGAGATATTGACAGATTCATTAGGAATAAACCTGTTCAAATTCATAGCCAGATTTGGTACCCCCAATTGTTTTTCAGGCCTACCACGACATGACTTGGCAATGGTTCCACTTCTTTTATAAGGGTTAAAAGCAAACAACTGTTAATATGAAGGCATTGCAGGAATTTGTAAACATGTTCATTGACTTCACAATATCAATAAAATGAAGAACATATATCTACTTTTTTTCCTGCAACATAATAAGTAGTAGTATAATACACAACAATAGTTATATTAACAAATAATATATTACAGGTTAAATGAGTTATAACAATCTTACTGTGTTTGAGTTTGGGAATGTTGTGTCCATGCTTTCTGTTTTCTTTTGATGGTATGGCTAAATGGTTTCTTTGGTACAACACTGCTAACTTGAGTAATTTTGTTTGGGTGGTTAGGAATTTGTGGACCTCTGTAATGATAATATAATAAATGTTTAAATATAAACCAACAAATTCATGTACGTGTTTCTTAAAGAATTCTTTTCTATGAAACTTAAAAGATATACCTGTTTTGGACATGCAACATCTCAATAGGCACGTTCTTCTGCTTTGATGAGCTTGGTATTTTAAAACTTCTTTACATGTGATAAAGAATGACATGCATGTGAAGATATTAAATATTAAAATTTCAATGAGGTTATCTTAAATAACAATATTAATTATCAAAAGATACTTACGTGGGTGTATGAGAAGAACTACCAACTTCAAAGATGGGGTTGTGTGGAAAAGGAAACTGATGTTGCGTATCATCCAAAGAAGAAGGATGATACCTCTCATTTTGTAACAGTGTTAAAATAGTATATATCTTTCGACAATCGATCCGAAATATTGAATAACATTCTATGAAATTGCAGCGTTTCCCGGCCTAGTTCGACGTACGACGCTCATTCTCCGCGTTTCTTAGAGTTCGAAACATTTGAGAGGTAACTTTCTTCCTCAAATTACTGGTATATATTGTGATGAATTTGTCTTAAATTGTCTTTCGTATGTTGCATTTTGTTGTACCCCAAAATTTGCCCTCCCATTTCCTCAACATTTTCTCATCACAAGACCTTTGAAGATCAAAATACAGTTAGGGTTTCCTCTGCTCAAGACTTCTCCTTGCACTGTGGACTCAAAATTAGGGTTTGTGTTTGCCTAAAGATGTTTTGACCTAAAATGCCTAAGATGACTTTCATGCTTCATGTTGGACTCCCAAGTTTACCCATGCCAAGTTTCAAGTCTTGATTCCAAGTTTTACCCAGTCAATTGGACAGTTGACCTAGAAATCAGCTGTATTGGGGAAAAAGTCAACTGTGGCCAATTGACAGTCAAACCTCATGAAATTTGACCCACATCAACATATTGAACTCATATGGACCATTTGATCAAGTTTGGATCACAATTCCATAAGAAATTTGATCAGATCACCAAAAGGGCAAAATGGTCATTTTTAGGGTTTTGACTGCACAAAGGCAATTTTTGACTGTTTGACCTAGCCAATGGCAAATAAAGCTCACATATGGCCTCAAGGACCCCATGGAATTATCTTGACATGTTCATCAAGCTCAAAAGATCCCAAGTACACAAGGTTGACAGTTGAATTTCCCAGTCAATTGATCAATTTTGACTGTATACTGAAAAGTCAAACTTTGACTTTTTGGTCAAAATCAAGAGTCAAGATTCATTTTTCATCAAAACATGCCAAATCATGAAACTTGTTCACCAAGAAATCACAAAGTGCAAATTAGGGTTTGAAAATGGAATTTTTCATAACTTAGAATTTTTCTAAGTTATGGAAAACCCTAATTTTTTCCCAACTTTGCCCCATCTTTTCACCATGATCCATTTGGATTCTAACAAAAGTCAAAACATGAAAGTTGTAGCTTGTTGCATAATCTACAACTTTGATTCACAAAGTTTTCTCATTTGAAGCTTGTATCTCAAGTTATAATTTTTTGAATAAGGGCACTAAACCATCTTTTAACTTAGTGAAATTTGACCTATTTTGACAAGGTTTTCTACCCTACTTCAAGGCCACTTTTCATACCCTTCCACTTGGAATTTTGATTTGCATTTCAAAGATGGATTGTAGTACACATTCCAAGCTTTCCAAAATGTCCAAGAACTCATCAAACAACCTCATAACTTGAGAGATTCGAATTTCACAAGTTGGCAAAATTTCACTTTTGTTCTTCATCAAGACATGTTCATAATCTTGCCAATTTGAAATCAGTTTGCTTTATGCTTGATTACAGGTCCTTGAACCATTTCATACTCAATAATTTAATGCATATTCAATGTGTTAAGGTCATGTTCTTTGTGTTCTAACATTGCATAATGGTTTAATCCTAAACTAGATAAAGTGAAATTTCCATTTTTGAAAAGTTTAGCTTTATGTCAAGTTTGTAATCCAACAAGTACATGAAAGATCTGCTTTGCACAAGATTATGTGCATAACACACTGATCAAGAGAGGCTTATGCAGCACATTAGGAGGCCCCCTACTAACCTAAAACAACCAACTTGCTTTTGTTGCTTAAGATAGAAGAAAAGTCCATAACTTATGCTATCTCTCATCTCAGCTAAGACACACAACACAAAAGCTATCAAACACATTCCATAGACCAAATGCAAGCTAACACACGAGCCCTTGCCATCTGAAACACTCCCATTGCTCTAATCACCTCAAAACTGTACAAACAGGGGAGCCCCTGCAGTTTGAGTGCAAACTCTCAATCCCTTCGAGCATTTTGATCCAAACCTTTTCCTCTACCTTCCCTACAACATATGCAAGCTAACCATGTCCTAAAATCAGACCTGTAACACCTCCAAGCCACTTCACCATTTTTAATTTTCTGTTCTGCAGTTGGAGTTCACTAGCTCGATTCAGGGAGTTCCAAGACAAAGTAGGAATTGGAAAAGCATCCTTACACTTCAAGGAAGCTGTACAAGTCATCATTTCACTCTGAAACATCCTCCATTGTCAAGCTCGATTCCAACTGAACAGGTATATTCATGGAGTTCTATCTCTCTTATTAGGCATTGTTAGCTTTAGGTTTTTGAAGAAAACATGTCACAATCATAGCCCTGAACATGCTCATATGATTAGATTTCATTTATGTTTCGTGTGCTTAGAGAATTTCATGTCTGAACATTGATGAAAAGTTAGGTCAGAAATTGGGGGAGGAGAAATTCTCCCTCATCTTAGAGAGATAGGTCAAGTTATTTATATGGTTGAAACCGTCTCTTCATGCTGAACATTTCTTGTGTTATGAGTTTTTGCTGAAAAGCCAAGAATCAGGAGTTAGACATTGAGGAACAGGGGCGCGCGTTTTTCAAATGTTTGAAGCTGGAGGTTGAAGACAAAGATCAGTGGGCTGGGCCTGTGCTGTTTTACTTTTCACACCACCTTTTTTGATTCACACCCCCCTGAGCCCATTTGCTCATATTTTAACATTTTTGACTTTTTCTTTTTTGATTAACTTTGTTTATTTTTTCTCATGACATTTAAAAAATAAAAATATTTTTTTCCATCATTTTTGTATTTATTTGCATATTTATTTGTTTATTTTCTTTGTTTGTATATAATATATATATGTACTATTATTAGAATAAATAGAAAATAGTGTAAATACAATTTTTGTTTTTTATTTACCTTCTGAAAATATTTCACACAAAAAAATACTCTTTTATTATTTTATTAAAATATTAAATAAATACTTATTTTGTGTATAATGCATATTTAGGGTTTAATATATATATATGTGATTATTAATATATTTAAGATAAAATATAAAAATACTTGAATTTTTTCATTTTTATTAATATTTGATATAACAATACCTTTTTCCATAATACACTTCATTTTATTTTATTTTTATAAATAATGAATAAAAAGTTGTATTAAATTAGAAAATAATACCCCTTTTTCTTTAAAAATTAGGGTTTTTACCCTAAGTTCAAAATACTCAAAAAAATAATACATTTTTATTTTCTTTTCTCTTTTACATAAAAAATATTTTCTCATACATATAAAAACTTTCTTTTTGCATTTCACATATTTATTTAATTTCCATTTAATTATGCAATTTATTTACCTTGCAAATATTCAAAATGATGTAATAATTTAGATTTAAATTCTTGTCAATATCCCCCATTTGAACATTTGTACCCCCTTTCCCATATTTGGTTTTGTAATAGCTTAGTAATTTTAATTTCGCACTTTATTGCTTTCTAATGATAACATGTTAGAATTAGGGTTTGTATGCGAAAAAACGATAAAAAAATAGTTTGACCTAATACAAGATAAACAAGCATGAAAATGAACACACAAATCACACTTGCACCCCCTAGGGTATTCCACTTGTTGCCTTCAAATAAATGGGCCATATTGTATGTTGAACTTCTTTGGGCAAAGCAAACAGTTTGAATGATCATAGTCCCTCGATAAAACTTTTCAAAACAAACAAAACAAATGATCAAGTCCCTTAAAGAAAATTGCCCAAAGACATTTAACGCCGTTGCAATTATGGTCTAAAACGATGACCCGCGCCTGTCCCTTTCACATCCTAACACAAGGTTGCCCACCAAATACAACGGTGGAGCAAA